TCTTCAAACACTGAACTTCAACTTCAACTTTATTTATTTCTTACAACACAGCGCTGTACTTCTGGTCCTTCCATGCTAGGCTAGAGTTTTTAGAACATTGCTATGCATTTGCTAGAGTGTAGCTAGGTATATGTTATTCTGGTCCTGAGATTTGGCTCGATGCTTTAACCACTAGGCAATTATTTATACAGCCAACACAAATGCAATCAGACTATATCTAACAGACATCTTCCCTTCAAACATGATATTTAACTGCTATCTTAACATGTTTCTATATGTATCACATCTGCAACTAGCATCAAAGAGATGCCAGTTTGTCCACTTTGATTTCTTCTTCCAGTACAGTCTATTTTCTTTCTGAACTGACTGCATGGAGAGTATATGAAGTCTAAATCAGGATTTAGCTTAAGTGAATGCCGTGACAGAGATCCCCAAAAGTGAACTGATGCATTCTCACGGCTTGCTACCTCCGCTAACAGCCCAGACAGGAAAGCATCACTGCTCTACTAAATATAACACTATGGCGTTGAGTGCTCGGATTCACAATTGCTTGTCTATGAGGCTGCCTGGGAGATGTGCTGAAACAGAATCAGTGGTGCATCACCATCATGTGACTCGAATTGAGATGGAAGCAGATTAGACTCAATAATAATTCACGCAAAAGACACTATGCACACATGCGTATCCCAATTCACGTGCACAAATATATATATATATATATATATATATATATATATATATATATATTTGTGCACGTGAATTGGGATACGCATGTGTGCATAGTGTCTTTTGCGTGAATTATTATTGAGTCTAATCTGCTTCCATCTCAATTCGAGTCACATGATGGTGATGCACCACTGATTCTGTTTCAGCACATCTCCCAGGCAGCCTCATAGACAAGCAATTGTGAATCCGAGCACTCAACATATATTCACAAAAAACAATTAATGTGCACAAAATAAGAATATACATTCATAAAATACGTTTCACAAATGCAAAACACAATTCGCAGAAATTTTGAATATTTAAAATTCACGAGTTTATCATGGACTGTGAATGTGTGAATCACCTTGGATTTGTGTGTGTATTTTTGAGACTTTCCTGGCAGCGAACTCCTCCCACACGGGTCACTCGTACTCTATAGCCAATCAGATTTGAGCCTGTCGATCGGCAAATCATAACCCGCTGTGGGCGTGCCTACCTGGATGTTACGTCATTAGCACGAGACCACAGTTCAAGTCACGGCAGAGGTTTGTGCAGTTGATCATTTCATTTCAGATAACTAGCTTTGTAAAAGTGTATTGTTTTCTTTGCATGCTTAAAACTTGGAAGTAAAATTGGTCTCAAAAATAACATGCAAATAAAATGGACCCAGTTGACTACATTAGAACACATTATTCTAAGGATTATTTTTACTCTTAAACAGCTATTCTATACATTTTTCCATATGGCCAGGGAGTTGCTAAGTGGTTACCAAGGAGAGTATGTAGTGTGTGTGTTGGGGAGGTTACTAGGGTGTTGCTTTGTGGTTGCTATATGGTTGCCAAGGTGTTCAAAGTGGTTACTAAGGAGTTTCTAGGGTGCTGGAGTGGTTGCTATGTGGTTCTTAGGGATTTGCTAGATGGTTACTAGAGTGCTCTGGGGTGGTGCTTTTTAGTCAAGGTCAAGAGCCTTAAACAACATTTTTGTGTAATTGCTACAGTGCTCTGGGTGGTTTCTATGGAGTTGCTATGGTGTTCTGGGTTGTCGCTTACTAGCCTAATGCAAGAGCCTCAAACAACATTTATATGTGGTTGCTAGGGTGTTCTGGTTGGTTGCTAAGGAGTTGCTATGTGGTTGCTAGGGTGTTTTGGGTTGTTGCTTTATAGCCAAATTCAAGAGCCTCAAACAACACTTCTATGTGGTTGCTAGGGTGTTCTGGTTAGTTGCTAAGGAGTTGCTATGCGGTTGCTCGGGTGTTTTGGGTTGTTGCTTACTAACCAAATTCAAGAGCCTCAAACAACATTTCTATGCGGTTGATAGAGTGTTCTGGGTGGTTGCTAAGACGTTGCTATGTTGTTGGTAAGGTTTTCTGGGTAGTTGCTTACTAGGCAAATTAAAGAGCCTCAAACAACTTTTTTATGTTGTTGCTAGGGTGTTCTGGGCAGTTTATAAGGAGTTGCTATGTGGATGCTAGGGTGTTCTGGGTTGTCGCTTACTAGCCAAAGTCAAGAACCTCAAACAACATTGCTATGTGTTTACTGGGGTGTTCTGAGTGGTTGCTAGGGAGTTGCTAGATGATTTTTAGGGTCTTCTGGGTTGTTGCTTACTAGACAAAGTTAAGAGCCTCAAACAACATTTATATGCGGTTGCTAGGGTGTTATGGATGGTTGCTAGGATGTTCTGGGTTGTTGCTTACTGGTCCAAAAGAGCACACACTTGAGCCTCTTGACATTCAGAAAAAAAAAGTGAAGCATTATTCATGCCAAAAAATGTCCAGTATGAGTTACATACTGATGGGTAAAAATTTCCTTCCTATATTATCTCACTGAATATGTCGTTCCTCTCGCAAACATTACATCTGGTAGTTAAATCCACTGCTAATGCCACTTCATGTTGTTTTGCAGTATTTGAATACTTAGAAACTGATGTAATGGTGTATTTGCGTCCTTATGTGTGTGTCTTCGGGCATCTTCATTGCTTCTATTCAAATCTACATTTCCTCGGCCCCAGCCTTGCGTGGCCCCTGACAGCTGGGATCTCTCGGTGTCTGTTTTTGTTATGTGACAAAATGAGCATCTTTTTGTCATGGCTTAATAGCTCTCCCTCTTCGTACTTCTTTAAGGAATAGATGATGGTAATCAGCATTTCTGCCAGCGCGCTGTTGACAGAGGCATCCATCTGCAGTGAAGCGTAGTCTGAGCATCTCCTTACAGATCATTCAGAAAGAGAGAGTGAGAGAGCAAGAGAGACAGCCATGTGCCTCATCCACAGCTATGTAATTATTCTCATTATGTCAAATCACCGTGCCAGAACAATAACTGTGCTTTCATAAAAGGACCCCAAATGTCCATCTGCTCTATGTAGGTGTACACAAGAGGTACATACAGGAAAGAAGCCGAATTAAGTGACAAGAGGAGACAAGAGCAAAACTATCGCCATGGTGAACCTGCTTAAATTGAGATAAATTTTAGAATTTTTGTGTTTGTGTTTTTTACTACTTTAAAAGCGACCTATTATGTCCCTTTTTACAATATATAATATAAGTCTCAGGTGTCCCCAGAATGTGTCTGTGAAGTTTCAGCTAAAAATACCCCCACAGATCATTTATTATATAATTTTGAAATAGCCTATTTTGAGTGGAAGCAGAAACACGCTGTTTTCATGCATGTACCTTTAAATGCAAACAAGCTGCTGCTCCCCGCCCCCTTTTCCAGAAAAGGGCTGTGCCTTTACAGCTCATTCCTCAGATACTCTGCTAAAAAACATCTGTATGATTTTCATGATATGTCACCTTTAAAGGAATATTCCAGGTCTAATAGTTCAGATTAATTGACAACACTTAACTTCTGCAAATAATTTCATCTTGAGAAAACATGTGGAATACTATTACTGGCACTTACAAAAGAAGTGAATGGGGCCAATCAGGGCTAGTTCACCCAAAAAAAGAAAAATCTGTCATCATTTACTCACCTTCCACTTGTTCCAAATCTGTATGAGTTTCTTCTGTTGAACACAAAAGAAGATACTTTGAAGAATGTTGGTGACCAAACAGTTGTCGGTAGCCATTGACTTCCATTGTATTTTTTCCATACTATAGAAGTCAATGGCTACCAGCAATGGTTTGTTTACCAACATTCTTCAAATAATCTTCTTTTGTGCTCACTAGAAGAAAATAAACTCATACGTTTCATGTTTGGAACAACTTGAGAGCAAGTAAATGATGACAGAATTTTTTCATTTTCAGGTTAACTGTCACTTTAAAAACATTAAATCTTGAGAAAACATGTGGAATACTATTACTGGCACTTACAAAAGAAGTGAATGGGGCCAATCAGGGCTAGTTTACCCAAAAAAAGAAAAATCTGTCATCATTTACTCACCTTCAGCTTGTTCCAAATCTGTATGAGTTTCTTCTGTTGAACACAAAAGAAGATACTTTGAAGAATGTTGGTGACCAAACAGTTGTCGGTAGCCATTGACTTCCATTGTATTTTTTCCATACTATAGAAGTCAATGGCTACCAGCAATGGTTTGTTTACCAACATTCTTCAAATAATCTTCTTTTGTGCTCACTAGAAGAAAATAAACTCATACGTTTCATGTTTGGAACAACTTGAGAGCAAGTAAATGATGACAGAATTTTTTCATTTTCAGGTTAACTGTCACTTTAAAAACATTAAAATAGTGTTTCAATAGTGTTGCCACAAGATGTAAACTATATACATGTTAACATGATTGTGACTTGCAAAAAGCTGGTTCCAGTTCCAAAACAACTTCTAAATATTCAAAATTGATCACATTATTGAAGCAAAACAGGTTGCCTTCATGTTGACTTATGTTGGAGTACAAATGATAGGAAACCAAACTAGTGTTCTTTTTTCAAACATACATATCACAGCAGCCACAAATGTAGAGGTGATTAAATAAAAGCTAAGCTTCTGCTTAAACAACCCAGGTAGTCTTTGAGTAAATCAATCAGAGTTTGGAAGGACTGTCAGATTGTAAAGACTGAAAGATTTTGACCTCCTATGTGTGTGTGTGCTCATGTTAGCATGCGTAGACATCAATAAGATTCTTCTGTTTATTTAAGGATTTACCAGTTCCTGTCTAAACAGAATCTCTTGTGCCTGATGTCCCCATTGATCTACTCAACCACGATAAACACTGAATCCTCAAAGAGGTCCAATCCGATGTCAGCATGATGGACTGCTTTGCCTCCCAGGCAGAGCAGAACTCTTTCAGTAACAGTGTAATTTCTAAACCAGGTTGAGAGACAGTAATGCAAAACCCTCTCATACCAGTGCATTTCTTGGGGCTGCCGGGACGCTTGCCGTGCATCCCTAACTTGCATCCGAAGTTCTCCTCCCAGAACTCCGCAAACCAAACGTTCCGTCGATTGTTGGACAAGGAGCGGCTTTTGAAGTATCTGTCAAAGGCTGGAAATAAGTATGAAAGCATTGGAATTGGATTGAAATTGCAAAAGAAACATTAAATCAGAATTTATATATTAGAGGAACCTTTACCTTCTATGGATGCTCTTTTTGGAAGGATGGTAATAGCACCTTCCGCCACGCTTTCCTGCTGGACGACTGGAGATATTTTAGAGCCCCAGCTGTCCGATCCCACCCACAAGAAGTGACCGGTTTGGTTGTTGCGCTTTGCAGCATCCAAGACACGTCTGAAAGATGAGCAAACAAAATAGGCATCCACATGTAAGACAGTGAGGATAAAACCCAGGAACCTAAAAATGTCCTTCAAGCAGACCTGTTTGTTCTGATTTTCTGAGGTCAACAGTGTTCTGCTAGAAAACTTAGAATTGGAAATTGGTCTGAAGTCATCAGTGTAATAGGCAAGCATCCAAAGGACATCATGTAATAGGCTTAGAAGGGCAACGGCTCTCGGGAATATGGGGACGTGATTTGATCTTGTGCTACAGGTACAAGAAATTCCATGCCAAAAATGACTGAAAAGTGTATTATGTTAAAATGAGTTCTCCAGGCCTTAGGCAGCACATTATAGGAAATAGCTGACTTCACCTGTTCTTGAGGTTTTCTCCTAAGAGCAATACTTACAGCTTGACTGCATCATCTTCAATTTAACTCTGTGACAGTCGCAGGTAAATACTATCTGTGGTTTGTCCAAAATTGGTAGCTTTTCAGCAGATCTGACTTAAAGACCCTATGAAGTAAAAACTGGACTTCTTATGGGTGTTAGTGCATTTCCAATGCATTTATTAACTTCTAGACCACCTAAATGCAAGTCTATTTCTAAAAGTTTCCACATATTTTATATATTCTTTCCCAAGTAAAAGGACCAAATACACTACTGTTCAAAAGTTTGGGGATGGTAAGATTTTAAAAAAATATATATATATTTTCATAAGAAGTGTCTTATGCTTACCAAGGCTGCATTTATTTGATCAAGTAAATCACATTTATTTGATACAGTAAAACAGTAATTATTAAATAATACTACAAATGTCATTTATTCCTGTGATGGCAAAGCAGAATTTTCAGCAGCCATTACTCATGATCCTTGAGAAATCACTTACTGGCCTCAAATTTTTGAATGGTAGTATATATTGAAGAATCATGTTGCGGTACAACTGCAGTACAACCAACCAAATACCCTGTAGAATGAGAATGTTGCACCACCTGCCACTGACTAGCAAGGCAAGTAGCAAATCATGGTTAATACTTGTGAGGTAACTAAAGCCTATTGACTTTTTTAAAAAAAGGGAAAAAATATCAACTCAAAAATTTGAGTAAGAACATTCGGCCACACTTTAATTTAAGGTCCAGTTCTCACCATTAACTGATTGTTAACAACAAGTTTTGCCTCAATAAACTCATAATTACTGCTTATTAATCGTTAGTGAGGTAGTTGTGAAGTTTAGGTCTTGTGTGGGATTAAAGATGTAGAATATGGTCATGCAGAATATGTGCATTATAATTACTAATTAACAGCCAATATGCACACTAATAAGCAACTAGTTAATTGTAGTAATTAATTGTAGTAATTGTTCCCTATACCAAGTGTTACCAAACATTCTTTTTATTTCTTATATCCATATAGATACCAAAAATAGGAGCAAACGAAATGTGTAAATTGCTCATAAAACCCTTCTTAGGCCTATTCTTTTTTCAGCATATTACCAGGACAGATTACCATTATTATTTATTAAATATACATCTGTAAATAGGAGGAAGGAAAGACATCTATTGATAAAGACACCTGATATCATCTTCATTCGCAAACATGACGATGGCTCGAGCGTTGGGTGTCTCCAGTAGCCGCAGGATGATCTTGTCGAATTCTCCCAGTCTGGGCTCTCTGGGGATCTTCAGAGATTGAGCAATACACACACCGCCTGAGAGAAAGAAGACCAGGAAGTGACAGAAGAGAAAGAGAGAAAATGATAGAGAATAAGAGGAGGAAGAATGAATGATGCAGAGAGTGAGGAAAGGAAAACAGATTGGATAATAGAAAAATAATGGAAGAGATGGGATGAAAGGGAAGGAAAAGGAAAGGACAATTGGATGAGACGACATGAAATGAAAGGAAGGAAGGGATAAAAGGAAATGAATAGCAATAGAAAGGAATTGGAGGAAAGGAAATGAACAGCAATAGAAAGGAATTGGAGGAAAGGAAAGGAAAGGTAAGGAAAGGAAAGGAAATAAAAATTGGATAAAAATTGGGAAAAAAAGAGGAAATGGAAAGGAAGGAATGAGAAAGAGAAAGGAAGTTAATTGGATAAAATTAATTAAATGAAGGGATGAAAGGAAAGGGTAAGTAAAAAAGGAGAAAGCAAAAGGATAACAATAATATAAGAGGAAATAAAATGGAAGGAGGGAAGGAGTGAAAGGAAAAGGAAATGAAAAGGAAGTGGAAAGGAGATGAAAGAATAGGAAAAGAAAGAAATTAGATAAGAAGGAAAAAATGACAGGATGATGGGATGAAAGAAAAGAATAGGTGACAATGGAGACAAAAAAGATGAATAGGGAAAAAAGGATGACAGAAAGGAAAATATATATATATATATATTTTCATAAGAAGTGTCTTATGCTTACCAAGGCTGCATTTATTTAATCAAGTAAATCACATTTATTTGATACAGTAAAACAGTAATATTATTAAATAATACTACAAATGTCATTTATTCCTGTGATGGCAAAGCAGAATTTTCAGCAGCCATTACTCATGATCCTTGAGAAATCACTTACTGGCCTCAAATTTTTGAATGGTAGTATATATTGAAGAATCATGTTGCGGTACAACTGCAGTACAACCAACCAAATACCCTGTAGAATAAGAATGTTGCACCACCTGCCACTGACTAGCAAGGCAAGTAGCAAATCATGGTTAATACTTGTGAGGTAACTAAAGCCTATTGACTTTTAAAAAAAAAGGGAAAAAATATCAACTCAAAAATTTGAGTAAGAACATTCGGCCACACTTTAATTTAAGGTCCAGTTCTCACCATTAACTGATTGTTAACAACAAGTTTTGCCTCAATAAACTCATAATTACTGCTTATTAATCGTTAGTGAGGTAGTTGTGAAGTTTAGGTCTTGTGTGGGATTAAAGATGTAGAATATGGTCATGCAGAATATGTGCATTATAATTACTAATTAACAGCCAATATGCACGCTAATAAGCAACTAGTTAATTGTAGTAATTAATTGTAGTAATTGTTCCCTATACCAAGTGTTACCAAACATTCTTTTTATTTCTTATATCCATATAGATACCAAAAATAGGAGCAAACGAAATGTGTAAATTGCTCATAAAACCCTTCTTAGGCCTATTCTTTTTTCAGCATATTACCAGGACAGATTACCATTATTATTTATTAAATATACATCTGTAAATAGGAGGAAGGAAAGACATCTATTGATAAAGACACCTGATATCATCTTCATTCGCAAACATGACGATGGCTCGAGCGTTGGGTGTCTCCAGTAGCCGCAGGATGATCTTGTCGAATTCTCCCAGTCTGGGCTCTCTGGGGATCTTCAGAGATTGAGCAATACACACACCGCCTAAGAGAAGGAAGACCAGGAAGTGACAGAAGAGAGAGAGAGAAAATGATAGAGAATAAGAGGAGGAAGAATGAATGATGCAGAGAGTGAGGAAAGGAAAACAGATAGGATAATAGAAAAATAATGGAAGAGATGGGATGAAAGGGAAGGAAAAGGAAAGGACAATTGGATGAGATGACATGAAATGAAAGGAAGGAAGGGATAAAAGGAAATGAATAGCAATAGAAAGGAATTGGAGGAAAGGAAATGAACAGCAATAGAAAGGAATTGGAGGAAAGGAAAGGAAAGGAAAGGAAAGGAAAGGTAAGGAAAGGAAAGGAAATGAAAATTGGATAAAAATTGGGGAAAAAAGAGGAAATGGAAAGGAAGGAATGAGAAAGAGAAAGGAAGTTAATTGGATAAAATTAATTAAATGAAGGGATGAAAGGAAAGGGTAAGTAAAAAAGGAGAAAGCAAAAGGATAACAATAATATAAGAGGAAATAAAATGGAAGGAGGGAAAGAGTGAAAGGAAAAGGAAATGAAAAGGAAGTGGAAAGGAGATGAAAGAATAGGAAAAGAAAGAAATTAGATAAGAAGGAAAAAATGACAGGATGATGGGATGAAAGAAAAGAATAGGTGACAATGGAGACAAAAAAGATGAATAGGGAAAAAAGGATGACAGAAAGGAAGATAATAGGATATTGTGAATGAAATTGAGTATGAAAGAAGAAGAGAGCGACAAAGAGAGAAAGAGAAAGACAGGACATGAGAAGGTCAGAAAGCACGGAAGGAAGGATGAAAACACAGGGGCGGCAACGGAAACTTATTCCATTATAAAACGGACAGACAAGATGCAACCTCACAATCTTGCTGCTGCCCTTGGAAAAAAACATCGATCTACTTTGCAAACCTTGTCGTACGTAGGGTCGAGGGGATGCTGGATCTCTTCCTATTTCTTTCATCTCAACAAAAAAGGAACAAAAGCTGTCACTGGGGCAGTACGTGTTTTTTAAAGGTACTAATATGTACACTCTTGGTACCGTCAAGGTACTAAAATGCACCCTTTAGGAGTAAATGAGGTACAACGATGTACCTTTTTAAAGGGTACTTCCCCAGTGACAGCTTTTGCACCTTTTTGTGTGAAAGCATATGGCCTGAGATGTTGGGATAGGCTCCAGCATTCTTGCAATACTATGTAGGACAAGGTTTTGAAAATGGATGGATGTTCTTTTTGCAAAGTGTAGGCAGGGAAACACCCTGGACAGATGGTCCAGATTCACCTATGCTGCATGTGTTTGGATTGTGGGACAAAACCTACATCAAGATAGGGAGAACATGGAAAGGCCACCTGGTTTAGCCATGGTAGAAATTGAAGTATTTGTTTAACCGGGACTTGAACCAGGGATATTTTGATTGTGAGGTGACAATGCGACCCACTGAACTAAATTGCTGCACACTGCTACCAAACAGCCCATTTTTATTTAAAATTTGCGACAGTTTCCCCAAACACTTTGCACAGGGGTTTGAAAAAACATTATAAGTCACGAGGCCCCAAATATGATGGTCCCCTCCCAACATATAAAGGCAACGGCATATAGAAGGCCTATACTGTGTGAAAAAAGTAGCAAGATTTTATAAGACAACAATGTCATTTTGTAAAAGTGTACCCAAAAGCCTGTTTCCTAAATGAAAACTCAGAACTTTACAAAATTAGATAAGAAGAAATTAGGTACAGAAGCATGCAAACCTTTTTTTATTTTTTATTTTTATCCATGCTTGTTTAAATCAGAGTGCACGCACGTCTTTAATGCGGTGTTGTGCACTGTGACCAGTTGATGGGAAAAGTATTCTTAAAATGCATTCAAAATTCTGAATAATTTGTTATAAATAATTATTCCATGGTCTGTCTGAATACTGGATTCTGATTGGCTGGCAGGCATGCAGTAAAACCGTTTAATGCACAGGTAGTTCCAAGTCAGTTTAATCACCGTTCTATATTAATGCGCTGCTTTAATTGATGCACACTAACCAACACACATCACAAGCGCGCACACACACACACACACAGAGAGAGAGAGAGAGAGAGAGAGGTCAGAGATCGCTGATTGCGCTGCACATACACACAAACTTGCTGTCAACGCTTCCCCGTGATTTTCATTAATAAATTAGCCTAGATACTAGATCGCTACATTATATTCCTCAGCAACGAGGTGGCAAAATCACTGTTTTTGAAGTAATTGTTTGTACAGAGAGATGCGCAGACGCAGCTACACACAACTGTCATCTCTCTCTCTGTCTCTCTCTCGCACTCTCAAACGATCGATCGATAATTAATCGAAATACATGCTATAATTCATTCAAATAAATGTGGTCTTACCACACTATTTCATCTCTGTGTCTGATTTGAAGCGGGCAGAATGCTAGCGCTAACGTGCTGTAACTGAAGAAAATAACTGTCATTTTTACCCATTCGGTCAAATATTGTGCTGCAAAGAGCAATACTAGTTTTAACTTGTCTATAACTTGGCTAATGACGATGGAATAAGTGGTATAATCAACGGCTAGTCGTGCGTTAAAGGATTTTAAATGCACTTCGCGTCAGGCGGTTCTTTGCCTCCACGTCGTGCATTTAAAATCCTTTAACGCACAGCTAGTCGTTGATTATCCCTTACTTATTCTCTGTATTTTGAAGTGCCCACGATAACAATATCAGGCATATTCATTACCGTGATATATCGCATTACCGAATCAAGGCCCTGAAAGGTAGTAAGGACATAATTAAAATAGTCCATGTGACATCAGTGGTTCAACCATAATTTTACGAAGCTACGAGAATAATTTTGTGTGCAAAGAAAACAAAAAAAATTACTTTATTCTCAATTTCTTCTCTTCCGTGCCAGTCTTTGATGCACATTCAAGAGAGTATCACGACATATGCGTAGCTTCATAAAATTAAGGTTGAAAAGCTCTAGGATTTCATCAAAACTATCTTCCAAAGATGAACAAAGGTTTTACAGGTTTAAGAGGTTTTTTTAATATTGGACCGATAATGACTTATCAAAACAGGTTTCTCAAAACAAGCCCCCCAACTGTCATTGGTCAGCAAACAGATTGCTCCACCCCCAAT